TATGTATATATATTTATACATACATATATATCCATAGTGATTTCCAGAGTGTCTTCGGCGTACGTGACTAAGGAGTTGGATTGCGTGAACGAGAGTCCAGCTTGAATCCTTGCGTTTTCGTTGGCAGGTAGGAGATTGCCGAATTGCCACCATGCCCGTCTACCCATATTTCCAATCACCATGTAGTTTTCGGACAGTGCCTCCTCGGCAAAATTGAGTGGTGCAACAACCTGTATGTTTCCTTTGGACCAAGTTATTTCATCCTGGGAGTGTGTGCATACTACAGCAGCTAGTGTCAGATTGGCACCCGTGTTCGGTCCAACCTCCTTCAAATAGAAGTCAAACGCCTCTTTGGCCGATACTTTGGTGCCAAGGGGGTCAAATACAACAAGACCTTCGGGTGCTTTAATGATGGTCGTAACCGCCAAATCGAATCCACGGATCTGGTACACCTTGTCCATAACTTTGTAGGCTCCTAGGATTGGCACTGTCTGGACAGGGAACATCATCGTGAATCATCTCTAGAAAGGGATCGGAATCCAATGCTACTTGGCCGTTTTCATCAACTACTCTTAAGACTCGCCGGTGCTACTACAAATCCTCTATCCACATCTTCGAAGTCCGTAAGCTGTCGCGCATATAGCTGCAGCATGCAGTGCGTATGCAAATTTCATTCTTGTTGCGGAGGCAGGCTTACTTTGCACTCTTGAATGATTGAATTTTATGATGGATATCTCCACAAATATTTTGCTTTTAAACTTTTCAGCTGTCTTCACAGAATGTTGCTGATATCATAAATCATAGCTGCTTATGAATAGAACAAAGGCTATGCTGCTATGCATGAACTATGTAAATTTAAAAACTATTATGTATACATTAAATTGGTAGGCTATTATTCACGCATTGTGTGTTCTTTTTTACAAAACAAAATACAAAAATTAAAAAAACCAGAACCTGATCCAATCATCCATAGGCCCGGACAATCGGGCATCGGCGGAGTTCAACAGTTGCATTTTTAGGGATCCGGAATTCCGGAGCTTCACTGAATATCACCCGATTGCCAGGCGATTGGCGATTTATTTCAAAATTTTCGTGAAAATGATTTGTTTCTGAAAAAGCCTGTTATTTATTTTGTGACAAGTGACTACTGACTAGTCACTATTTAGTGAGTCTGACTCGCGAGTTGCTGTTTTTTTGCTGTTTTTTTTATAATTTTTTTTCGTGTACAGGATAAATCGTTATAGCGCTCCTGAGGCTCCGGGCCCTACGTACGATTGGTTTACGCATTTTATATAGAGCTACATATCGATCGCTGCCCGATGGAAGCACCGCATTAGCCATTATGGCTACACAAGTCTGCTTTCTGATATTTAAGCGCTCACCAGGTCATTTTAATCCTCAGAATATACATTAAAATAGTTTACATTTACATAATCAACCAAACGACTATTTATAATGTCACTCTCAAAGTCTCTTCGATCTCTCCCTGCTTCTACTAAGCAGGTCTACGACTATGTGGTTGTTGGTGGCGGAAGTGCCGGCTGTGTAATGGCCAATCGCCTCTCATCGAACCCCAATGTACGAGTGGCTTTACTGGAGACAGGCTCAGATGATAACACATCGCTCATCCGCAACCCCAGTGGGTTTTTCTGGACCGTCCCCTACAGTAAAAAGTACAACCATCGATACTGGACAACACCTCAGAAGAACTGTAATGGTAGAAATATGTTCCAGCCTCGTGGTCGCGGAGTCGGCGGCTCCTCTGCGATTAACGCTATGGTATATATTCGCGGCTTGAAATATGACTTCACCAACTTGTGGGCTGAGGAGAATAAATGCAACGGTTGGGAATGGGAGAATGTGCTACCCATTTTCAAGGAATTGGAGAATAATGATACGCTCAAAAACAACCCATACCACGGTAACGAGGGTCCTCTTCATGTGCGGACGCAGAATCACATTGGCTCATATAGTAGGCGCATTGTCAAAGCAGGCAATGAGTTGGGATGGAAAACAACCGATGACTTTAATGGAGCAGACCAGTCTGGAGTGGGGTATTATCAGTACACACAGACCAAGGGTGGGCGCTGCAGCACTGGTGTTGCCTTTCTGACCCCAGAGGTCCGAGCTCGCCCAAATCTGGATGTTATTGTTGATGCTCATACCACAAAGGTACTCACAGAAGGCAAACGGGCGACTGGAGTGCATGCAGTGGTATCAGGCAGCCCAGATTCTGCTAACCCCGTAACATTCGAAGCGAAAAACGATATTGTCCTGTGCGGTGGTGCATTTAACAGTCCACAGTTACTGATGCTTTCAGGAATTGGCCCTAAGGACCAGCTTACTAAGCACGGAATTGATGTAGTACATGAATTACCAGGAGTGGGACAGAACCTTCAGGATCATGCCGACATCTGCGTGAATGCAAAAACTTCGAGAATAAGTATGCCACTGCAAATCGGGCTCACCAACCTACCAAGTCAGATCAAGCACTTCTTCCTAGGTCTTTTCAAGAAAGAAGGAGTGTTCATGGGGGACAACCAAATGGTCGGCTCATTCTTCAAAAGCAAGCCTGACATTCCCGCTAATGATATTCAAATGCATGTCGCACCCTTCTACTACAAAGATCATGGTGCCACTTTAAGATACGGTGGTGGCATCTCGGTCAAATCGTGCTATATGCGGCCCGAGTCTCGCGGGACGGTTGGTCTGAATTCGGCTAACCCAATGGAGGGGCCACTGATTGACCCCAACTACTACGATGTGCCCGCCGACTTTGACCCCATGGTGGCTGCAGTACGAAAGAGCATCGAGCTGATTCAAACCAAGACCCTAGCAGAAGATAACCTGGTGGTTAGTGGATTTGGCGATAAGGATGTTAACAAACTTACCGACAGCGACATCAAGGAGTATCTGCGTGAAAATACC